AATAAAAAAAAGAAAAAACGCTGAGCGGAATTCAACATCGATAAGCACAAATAAATAGAATAAGGCAGGACTAAATCAGCAAGGCAAATGATGGAAAACAGCATTCCGTGAAGTTAACAGAAGTTAACAGTGAAAACAGCAAGGCAAATGATGGAAAACAGACGAGAATTGGTAAAAAAAAAATCAAATCCACACAAAATACTGACTCACGAAGGACAACACCAAGTAAGGAAAAACACTCATGAACAAATCAGATCCAACGACAGAAAACACGCAAAGCACCAAAGCAGTAGCCAAAAATAAACAAAACACGAAGAGCAAACCACAGAAAGCAAAGATCAAACAGCACAAACCTTAAAAGAAGGAAAAAAAGTTCTGGAACAGGCAAAGAAGAGGAAATATACGAAAATGACCTCAGGAATCGAAAGCCAAAGAAGATGGAGTTCGGGCAAAGGAGAAAAAAACTCTGATAAAAATCGACTGATAGACGACAAAGTGCAGATGTTGACGAGGAGCAAAACAGAGATCCTTCAAAAACAGCACAGCTAACGGAGATTCACAGCAAAGCCAGAAAACAAAACAATTTTGGGAAAGTGATGAGTGAGCCAGCAAATGGGTTTCACCCTCTGCTCTCAGCACAAGAAGAGGAAGCAAAGAGAGATTTAGGGAAAGTGAACCATCAGTTAGGGATTAGAATAATTTTTCGACTGATAACTTTAGGGGGCTTTCAATTTTTTTAGGTCTTTAAAATTTCTAATGGATTTTCAATAGATAATTCTCCATTGCAAAATTTTAATGGAAACTTATTAAAAATTTCGTTGAAAAAGTTTGTGGGAGAATTTTTTTTTACCCTAAAAAAATTTCCAACAGATTTTCAATGAAAATATTTCGTTGGTAGATTTCCCTTGAAAATACATCAAAAATCTGTCAAAAAAAATCACAACAATTTTTATTAAAATTTCGTTAAAAATTCGTGTTGAAAATTTTCGATAATATTTTCCGTCAGAAAAAATTTATTTTCTTGTGATGTACATTATATATTTTAATTTTTTATTTAAACATGATATCGAATCCCAACAATACTGGAATCTAGAAGATAAATCATCTTCATCTCAATTAGGCCACCCAAGACCGTTCAAAATGCAATTTGGAAAAAACTCCAAAATAGAAATTGAAAAACTTTGATTTCCAACTGTTAGTAAATCAGTCTTAGAAATTAAGTATGTTTTGTTAAAAGATTTTCAATATTTGGTTGATTTCATTTAAGTGTCAGCAAGCATGGATGCAATATGAAGGTTTGCGCGTTGAAAGGCATGTTCTTTCATTATTGCAAGGAGTACTATCTGTTCTGTTCAGAAAGCATATATAATTCCTATATCTGATTATCATTAACGTCATGGGAAAGCTTTTATAAACTAGTGAATTGAACTGCGGGAAGGGCTATACAGTGCCATATAAGGAGGCATAGGAAAATCAAATAGGTCCAAAATTCTACTTCCGACTGTAGATCCGCAAATTACAATTAAATTTTATTCACCCACTTTTTATTGATATTTTGGTTATTTATTTTCTTTTTCAAAATCTAGTATAAAGTAGAAATAAAAGCCTAAAAGTAACAAAAGGCGGTTACCGCCTCATCAGAAGAATGGATGGTAAAATGTGGAATATACTTCCAAGTTGAAGTTAAGGACGTTTTCCAGGCAACTTGAAACTTGGGTGTGCGCACGTGATTTGGTACCTCGTGGTGACCCATGAGAGTGTTTAAATAGAGTCACCGTGTCACCCATAACCAGGCAAGTTGGGATAATCTATTGAGTTCAAGCCTCCATTAGTCTGGCTTTGGGTTTTAGTCTCCCTGTTGTTTTTCAAAAGCTACCAACACTCCATGTGCATCATCTTCGCTACCCTTGGTTCTTGTTCCTTTTTTGCAAGGAAAGAATCTATCATTTATCTATTTTGTGAGAGAGAGAGAGAGAGAAAGAGAGGGCAGTTTTAATCATGGAGTTTCTTCTGGCAGTGCATGTGCATCAATCACCCCGGCCCACTTCGCATTATTTTGCTTTCTTGAGTCTAGCCTTGTAACCAACATTTGATATACATCCCTTCTCCACTATCTGGTTTCTTTCAAGTGAAAAAGAGGCCTAGTATCAAAATTTGGAACCCAAAAAATGAACAGTAGTCCAGCAGCTTGCAGCCAGTCTTGGTAAATTCTCACTCTTTTGATATATCGATCGTTGTTGAAACTTACCTTTACAAAATCAAAATATTTGTCTCAATTTTGGCATTTTCTTTTGGTTCCCGAAAGGTCCATCAGTGAGGACTCGCTAAGAAGGTACGTCCAATTTGCAAGTGAGAGCTGTATACAGGAGTTATTGTCGGCTTCAGATTCAAACAAGTTGGGGAATGCTAATGATGGATGGAAGATTCTCACCCTTGACAATGGAGTAGAGATATCAAAGCGCAGGTCTGGATCTCTTCACATTTTCCGTAGTCGCTGGCTGCTTAGATCTGTCTCACCCCAACAATTCATCACCGTCGCCACTGCTATAGATGCTGCCAAGGTGATTCTTTTTTTGTTTTTAATTAAACTTATCAATTAATTCCCCACTAATTTTTGTGGACATGAATGCAGACTTGGGATTTCTTCTGCTCACTGGTGAGCATTGCTGGAACAGTCATTTTAGATTGATAGCTTTATTTGGTTTGTACATAAGAAGATGTATTCTGGTTTGTCGGCCCGGAAAAGAAAACTTTTGTCTCAAGCACTGTCCGTTTGTTTGGATTTTTCATTATTTGTGTGGCTGAGTTTCTTAGAAGATCAACATCGTAGAAAATAACAACCCATCCTTTGTTCTTTACTGCAAGAAAATAAAAATTGTTGCTCTAATTCTAAATTTTTTTTCCTTTCCGGAACAGCAATGGGACCCTGACCTCGTCGAAGCCAGATACATAAAAGATCTTGAAGATAACTTGAGCATTATTCGTCTTAGGTTTGGAGAAAAATCAAAACCTCTTTTCAGGAAAAGAGAATTCATAGTCTACGAGCGACGTGAAACCATG